CATATCTCGTACAATGGTGATTCGTGGTGGTAGTCCCTGTTGGTCCATAGATAATATCCATTTGACAAGCATAGATTCTTCAGTGGTAGTGAGCTTTTTGACTGTTTGGTGTTGCATCTACGCGTGCAGTACGCCCGCGTAGGCGGTGGTAGAGTGTTGGATGTGGCACATTATATGCCTGTGCAGCAGCCTGTATGCTTTTAAATTGACCATCATTGAAAGCTTTAATTGCAAGCAAGATACGGCCCTCTTGATGAACTGCTGAATCTGCTGTTTTGCGTGGCATTTTGGTGGTTGAAGTTGATGAGCGCGTCGCGTAGTTTGGTGGGGTGTTTCGCTCGGTGATCTGTTTCGCTCGGTGATTGATTACGTTAACGTACGGTATGCAGCTTAGTCATCATCGCGGAGTTGACGCGGCGGAACGCGAAAAGTACTCCGTACGGAGTAGTGAACGCCGATATTATCATCTATCTACTCCGTATCTACCGGTCCAGCAAACAACAGCCAAGATTCGTAACAAATTATTTTTCAATGTGTCACCAAAACAATTGATATAAGTATCGTGCAGGACATACATGTGACTGATTAATTATTTCCATTTGTGCGCTGCCCTGATTGAATTGAATTGATTGATTGATCGATTGCAACCGTCTGCGACAACAATAATGTCGACATCTGCGTCTGGCCCCGCGAGGGCCCCGACGGTGTTTGAGCAGCAGAGAGAGGAATTGATCAGGGAGATTGCGTTGGTGAGTTTGTCCTTAAAAAAAAACGCTCTTTCCCCCTCCCACCTACCCGCCCCTCTGACGACATCAAATTCTAGACAAATTAATTTTGACCTATTGATTGACCGGTTGTTGTTGAATGAACAGGAAATGGAAAACGTCCTCCAGAACCTGAACCGCCTGAACCGGAATCTCGAGAGTATTATCGCTGTATGAAGGCCCCACAATCCCTAGCTCGCACTGGCTGGCTGGCTAGCTAGCTAACTTGGTTCGATTATTATTGTTGTTACTAGGTCGGCAACGAATTCAGCTCCGTCGAGGCGCTCTGGTCGCAGTTTGAGAACTTCATGGGAACCAATCCTGAGGGTGGTCGCGGTGGCGACGAGGAACAACAAGAGGATGGCGAGAATAATAACGGCGTCAAGCGCGAGGATGGCAAGGAAGGACACCACGACAGTCAATTGGAGGGCGATGAGGGGAAAGAGAGTCGATAGTCCGGACGATACTTGGTGGTTCGTTCTTGACAGTTCTTTTTCATTTACTTAGTTCCCTTTTTTTTCAATTTGTGATAAGATTACGAGATACCCATACCGTATGCAATGGTTCATACGTCAAGAGCATTCATTCATTCTTTAAATACATGCCGATGCCTTTGCGCCTATAAACACCTATTCCATGCATGCATGATGATGCCCGTCCACAGCCAAGGAAACAAAATCACCCATCACAGACATGACACAAAAACAAAGGAAATAAGAGACATGAATGACAGGGTCAAGTTGCGGCCTAGCGGATCGTGTTGAATCGAACTAGGCCGCTCATTATCAAGACATCCAGGAAAACAAAAGAAACCTCCCTAACAGGATGAGAAGCCAAAGGGGAAAACAACAGGGGAAAGAGACAAGCGCTCAGGAAAAAGCCTTCAAGACGGGGAGTAAAAAAAATGTTCATATCCAGCGTGCATCAAAACATCTCACATGTGCAAAATGGGTCTGTCGGGAGAGGCAACCAGGCAGATTCGACAGCCAGAATTAAAAAAGAAGGGGTAAAAAGGCGCAAGAACGCAAATAGAGAAGTGAAAAGCAAAAAGAAACCTACAGAATCTTGCAGGTGCGCTTCTTGATCTTCTTCCCTCCCCCGGCGCTGTTCTTGCCGTTGGGACCGCGGCCATACCAGCCTTCCTCAATCTCAACGGCCGTGTTGACCGCAAGCTCAAACACCTCGTCAACACCGCGCATCTCCTTGCTGCTGCACTCGACATACGTTGCACCCATCCGCTGGGCAACTGCCTGACCTTGCTCCGGTGTGACTGGAGTGAGGCCTTGCGTCTTGAGAAGTTCGATGCAAGTGCGCTTGGTGCGAAGGTCAGATTTGAGGCCGACCAAGATAATCGGCGTTGTGGGACAGAAATGAAGGACTTCAGGGTACCACTGCACACGTCTTAGTCACCTCTTTTTTCCTCTGATTCAATCATCAATATTCCACTTACCTTGTCCATTACGTTCTCAAGCGAAACAGGACAGTCAATGGCAAAGCAGACAAAGAGCAGGTCTGTCTCGGGATATGAGAGCGGTCGAAGCCGGTCGTACTCTTCTTGCCCAGCAGTATCCCAGAGTGCAAGCTCCACCGTCTTACCAGTAGGCCCATGGACGGTCTGAGTGATGTAGTTCTCAAAAACTGTAGGGACATATTTCTGGGAGGTGTCAGTAGATGGTCCTACCGACTGGGGTCCTTCATCGGCTGGGTCGTACCTCTGGGAAGTACCCTTGCGAGTAGCTGATCAAGAGACAGGTTTTGCCGCACCCTCCATCTCCCACCACGACGAATTTTTTCGAGTACGCGGGCGGCTGGGTGATGTTTGTAGCTTGCGACATCCTCCCTGTCGACACGCTTGTGTTTGTGCTCACGGTTCCGTTGCTGCCGTTGCTGGCCCTCATACTCTGGCTGCGGATGCGCGACCGACGCGGAGACATGGTGGATGAAGACGTCTTCTCACTGTAAACTGAATGGCGCCGCGTTGGGCCATAAGAGTCCTCGTATGCGATTCCTGACATATTCTTCTTGATAAACACCCAGAAAAGGCGGTGAGGTAGCAGTATAGCCCACGAGAAGCCGTGTATCCCAACGTGATCTGGAGAATCCGGACAATGATGGTCTTTCTGGACGGTAGAAGCGATACGACCTATTGTACAGATACGGCTGATGGAAGTAGAAGAAGCAAGTTGGAAGAGAAAGGAAGAAGAAAGGGAGGCGCGAGGGCTTGGGCAGCGACGCAATTGCTGATGACGATCTACAATATGAACTGACCGATATGAAACAGCGCCGAGTTGTTTATCGGGCAAGCTGCCATGGCAACGGGGCGGGCAGGCGGGTCTCCGACGTACCAGACGCCGCGTCCTCCGCAACAACCTCCAGCAATCCGCTCGCCACTGGGCAGGGGGAGTGGATTGATATTATTTTTAGCAGGGATCTCTGAGATCCCGTGTCTAGCCTGATCTCCTGCCTATCGCGGCGCTGGTTGACGCCGTCATCTGTCCTCCGTCCGTTCTCCGTATGGGGAAAGCGCGACCCAAGCTCGCTGCCAGGCCCCGAGTCTGTATGCTGCGATGTGGTTGGCTAGGCTTCTTCCGTGCTAGCGGATGGCCCGCCATCAAACCTGCTCCGCACCAGGAGCAGCACGCACGGCACAGCGGCGATCTCCTGAAATCCAACCTAGCGGCCGTCATCGCGTCGTGCTCTTCCTCCCAGTTCAAATGCATTGAGGCGTTCGCTGCAAACCAGGGCGCTGTGCGATCGAGCGTCTATGGAGGAGGTGCACCCCAATCGATAATCGAACTGCAACAGCATGGGCAACGAAGGAAATGGAGCGCCCGACGCTGGGCTGAGGAGCCTGAATCACTGTATGGATACTGATCTTTCCTGTCAATTGCGCCCACTGGACCTGGTGACTGGGACCATGTCGACTATCCATTGCTCACTCAGATATGCTGACTTGCCGCACCTCGTCAGACCAGAACAGACTCCCAGCATGGCGATACTGGCCACGACAGAAAATCCTCCCTCTGATCCGCTACGAGACGCCGTATCTGGCGTGGCTCCAGGAGAGTATCCGCACCCCGTCTCTCGATTCCTACTTCGCCTTCACTGCCAATCTCGGGACGCATACTTTCTTTACAATATTCTTGCCGATCCTGTTCTGGTGTGGACATACTAGCCTAGGTCGCGGGTAGGTTGGCCCGTCGGAGAGAAGCTCCGGTGATGATGAAGATGATGAAGACTTCGAGTCTGGATAGGACAGGTCATTGACACTTCATGGCGCAACTAGGATGGTCCATGTCTTGGCATCAGGTGTCTTCTTCAGCGGATTCCTCAAAGACCTGCTCTGTCTTCCTCGGCCGCTGTCGCCTCCTCTGCAGCGGATTACCATGTCTGGCTCGGCCGCGTTGGAATACGGTTTCCCGTCCACCCACTCCACCAATGCCGTCTCCGTGGCCGTCTATGCTCTTTCGCTTCTCCGTTCCCCGGAGAACACGCTCGCACCCACCGTGAAGCTGGCCCTGCAAGGATTTCTCTATCTCTACGCGGTATCTATTGTCGTCGGTCGCCTGTACTGTGGGATGCATGGGTTTCTCGATGTCATTGTGGGCTGCGGACTGGGCACCCTGATTGCCTGGATCCAGTGTCGCTATGGAGAGATGTACGATGAATATTTGGCCTCGGCCACAGCGAAGGAGGTCTTCCTGATCGTCCTCATCGTCCTGGTTCTAGTTCGGATCCATCCGGAACCCGCCGACGACTGTCCCTGCTTTGACGATAGCGTAGCGTTTGCCGGAGTTTTCATGGGTGCTGAGGTGGGTTTTTGGCATTATGCACACACAAGCATCGCGTGGTCCGAACCCACCCCTGGCACGATTCCTTACCGACTCTCGAGCCTCGGCTGGTTCAAGACTATATTGCGTCTCGTTATTGGCGTCTTGGCCGTCTTTGCTTGGAGAGAGGTGACGAAGCCGCTTCTGCTGCGCATCCTGCCTCCCATATTTCGAGGTCTCGAAAAGGCTGGGCTACTTCTTCCTAGGAGATTCTTTACCCAGGCTTCGTACGCTATCTTCCCTTCCCTTTTTTTTCCTTCCCCACTTTCTGTTGAGAAAGTGCAAGAGAGACAGTGTCAATAAACTAACTTTGGTCTGACTAGGCAATATAAAAAAGTGCCTGGACGTCTTGATGACCATGATGTGATCCCTAACTTTTCCGAAATTCCTTCTCTCCTTACTTCTATCCGCCATCCTAGACGGCGAGCTGTATCTATTGGACCCCAGTCCGAGGCAGATGCATACGAGACCTTGGCGTACCGTGAAAAGCGAAGACGCGAAAGCACTTCCGAGCAAGCAAAGGGCCCCGGTGGTAAGTTCCTTGCTCCTGCCTGGGCCGCGAGGCAGCGAAGGACTGACAGGATCCCCCAGGTAAACGACCCATCGCCATTGGACGCGCGCAATCCAAGTTAGAAGAATACGAGCACATGATGGGGACAGGCACACCACGGCATAGCCCTGAAGCTGCCTCGAGCGGAGAGACCAGTTCCGGCGCACGGTCGTCACCAGCTGCAGAAGGCACAGATGGCGCGGAGGGCCCAGATGAGCAAGATGTGTTCTCACAGATCATGAAACCTCGCGTGCGATACGATGTGGAAGTGGTCACCAAGCTGATCGTGTATTCCGGTAAGCACCGTGGTGTTTATGATCGTCGGGGGCCATTGCAGAAACTGATGGAAATCTTTTCTTCTAGGCATCGCCTTTGTAGTCATGGAGGGGGGACCACTCATGTTTGATTTTCTTGGACTAGCCCCTCGAGATCCGGCATGATCCTCCATTACAAGGGGATGCTGCCACTTCGCATTGGTGTCAGCTGGCTGGGACCGTTGTTCTCTTCTTGTCGAGACTACACGAACTTTTTTTTTTCTCCATTCCCTCACTGATCTAATAACTGTGTAGATTCGTATGTGGATTTTGCCCGCGAGGCACTCCCTGTGTATACAGCAATAGACGGAATATTAAAAAGCGAGACGACTGGAAATGGCATCTTTCTCGATCGGGTATGTAAGCTTATTTGCCTACCTAGCTAGGCAGGTACCTAACTTGCCGCGTTCCTGCCCAGACTGCGTCACTGCCCCGGGACGTTCCTTCCCAGGCTCAGCCCTACCAGGAGACTGCCGCACGATTGCGGAGACGACGTCGGGAGTGCTGCGGCGCTAAACCCCAGCAGGCAAAGCACGCGGCCCACGTGATCTGCTTGGCGCGCGGCGGAGGGTTGCCCGCGCTTCAGTCGCGCTTCCAAGCGGCAAGCTCCCCCTTCACCATGCTTCTCGCGACGTAGTTAATCTCTATACCTAATCGTAGCCCAGTGACTGTGACAGCCCTCGGACCATGTTGCATGGCTGCTAAGACGAGTCGACCGTCCACCACCTCTCTGCTGCCTCCCCCCTTCATCTCCTCTTTCTCCTCTTCACCTTCACCCTCCTCTTTTGTTCATCCTCCATCCTTTCCACCGTCCTCTCGTCTCACGTACTTATCTTCAAACCAGCGTTGCTTGCGCAATCTGGTCTCCATAGCTTTATCCTTCTTCTGTGAATCAATCTTTCTTCACTTCTATGCTTTGAAAAGGACAGAACCAAGTTGTTTACAGAGAGGACGCGGTTCGTGTCCCATCTGGAACCTGAGCTCCCAGTCATCTGGGGCTCTCTATCTTTCTCGCTTCTACTTCTCTCACTCCCACAAACCTGACTCTTCTCTCAAGAAAGAAAACTCGCGTCCTCTCACCCAAACAGGGAGACTCTTTCTTCAACCTTCTACTCGTCATCTCTTGACTTCTCGTCTCTTCCTTCACTCTTCTTGAAGATCTTCACTTCTGTGAAGCCGCTGAGCTGTCTTACGCCTCGCGGTGACTTGGGCTTTCGAGACTCGAAGCTTCATCAAGTCATACGTTCTCTCCTGTGACTTCAAACCGTTCACTGGGCGTCAGTCATCTCTCCCTACATCGTTAGTCACTGACGACCTTTCACTCTGGATCGGTAAGTTCCGGCCATTTATTCACTTCTTTTCCTCGTCTTGCTCCTCCTTGCCCCACTAGCCCTCTTCCTTGCCCACTGTCAGGTCGTGGACGCGTTGTTTGTTATGACCAAGTTTTCACTCGTGGCTTCACGAGTCAACAAACACGTCCCATCTTCACTACAAACATTGAACCCAGTCACTCGTCTTCGACGCCTTTCACCTTCCTTGACTTCTCCCCTCGTCATCCTGACTACAAATACCCCCTCTCATCCCTTCTTCCTCCATAACTTTTCATCATCCTTAACATCTTCTTGCCATACAGACTCTTCGCTAAGAACAAAGTCTCTCACTCAACAAAGTCTCTCACTTTTGTCCTCTATCTTCTCATTCTTCCCGCGTCTCGACGTGTCATAACAAAGCTTGTACCACAACGGTCACCAACATTCAAACCCCTCTCTAATCGTCTACTCTAATATCTTTGAGCCTTCTGCCTTTGCACATCATACCGGCTCTCTTTTCTCGTGTCTTTGTCACGTTTAGACG